AAATATATAGCAGGAGCACCAGACCAGATGTGGCAGCAATATTCAAAGCAAGTCAAATTTAGTAAAATCAATTCATAGTCATAAAACAACTTAAAAAAAGTCACGTATTCAAAGTTAATTCAATTTGGAAATATTATTTAAACAAGACATTTCTTTTTTAGCAACATCTGTGAGGTGATTTGATTGTTTCTATATTCAAGATATATATATATATATATATATATATATATATATATATATATATATATATATATATATATATATATTTTTAAAGACATTTTTATGTTTATACATTATTTTTATAGATAAAAATATTTAAGTAAATGCTGTTTATAATAAACAGCATTAAACAACATTTACCGGCCTGAATGTCTGAGAAAGTTTCATAGAAAGTATGTGTCCTCTGAGAGGAATCAAAACTGTACCCTATACAGAACCGTCATTTAGCCTGATGTGCCTTTAACCGATTTGGCCACAGAGGTGCGTTCGGTTAGCAAGGTAAATTTTACTGTCTTTAAACTACAATCGTCCATGATTCTCTCACGTACATTCATATCTGCTCATGGCGTATCCAAATGTAAACAGATGACATCACACATTATGAAATGGACAAAATCCGACAATTATTTTTAAGACATTTTTATGTTATACATTCTTTTTATAGATACAAATATTTAAGTAAATGCTCTGTTTTTATAATAAACAGTATTAAACAACATTTACCAGACTGAATGTCCGAGAAATTTTCATAGAAAGTATTCGTTTAAAGACAATAAAATCGGCCTTGCTAACTGAATGCTCCTCTGTGGCCAAATTGGTTAAAGGCATGTCAGGCTATATGACGGTTCTGTATAGGATGCAGGTTCGATTCCTGTTGGAGGACGAATATTTTCTATGAAAATTCCTCGGACATTCAGACCGGTAAATGTTGTTTAATACTGTTTATTATAAACAGACCATTTACTTAAATATTTGTATCTACAAAAAGAATGTATAAACATAAAAATTGTCTTAAAATAATTGTTGTTTTGTCCATTTTAATCCATATATATATATATATATATATATATATATATATATATATATATATATAAAGTGAACATTAAAGTCAACACTCAAAAGGTGACAGGCTGTTTCATGCTAGACGCAATCATCAGAGGCAGCTTGATGATTGTGTCTAGCATGAAACAGCCTGTCGCCTCCGAGTGTTGACATCAAATGTTCACTGTTATATTTACATACGGTCTATCTCTGATATTGAGCACTTTATCCCATAAATATACCACACCTTAATACTATATTTCTATCTATCTATCTATCTATATATATCTTTGTAAAATTCAGGTATAAATAAATGCTTCTGAAAAGAAAACATTCATAAAAAAAATGACAAGAAGTACGCAGCTCCTGCCAGGCTCTAACTTTACAGCCCAGTTTCCCAACCTAGGCAAGATCACCCATCAGTGGGCGATTTCAACATATGCTACCAGAAAAAGGAGATATACAAATAATTTCTTTAAAAAAAACAGGCAGCTGAATAGGAATAACCGTGTCCCATTCCTCCATAAGATATAAATATTCCCTACAAACGATGAATATTTTTCTATTTTCTAAAGTTTTGAGATGAGTCAATAACATTCAAATAATTCTTTAGTATTAAGCATAACAAAAAAATATTTGCTGAAATTTTATTAGTTGTTAATTGTGTATATTCTTATGAACAATTTTAAAAAATTTTTTGGCAACACTTGCAACACTAAACCTAGCCATAAAATTAACCTAGACTATAAAACTAAGTTAGATATAAAGTTGTCAATGGTCAAGTTTGCTTTAGTTCATTTTTTTATATGGTAGTAGGAACAGTATTGTCTGCATAAATCAGTCCCTTTGGTATTTTTTACTACATCATAGAGGAAGTTTATGAACCAGTAACAAACTTTTACCAAACAATTTTGGTATGCATTTGAATATTTGTTATACATGTGGGTGGTGGAAAATTTATCTCTATGAAAGTGGGTGATGACACCAAAAAGGTTGGGGTCCTCTACTTTACATGAGTCAGAACAAACCAAAAATAGAATATTGCCAAGGCTGGTGCAAGTCAAATCAATTCAAAGTCAGAATACAAATTAAAAAAAAAAAAAAAAAAATTTCTTTTTAAGTGCTGTCTGCAAGAGTTTTAGCAAAAGAATTTAGTTGTTTGCATATTCAAGATATGAATGAGTTTCATTACATTCACTTTTGCATAAATACTCTCGAGAAAGAGAAATAATATGATTCCATTTCTTCACCCCCCAGCTATGGATTAAAGAGCAAACTGGACATCTAGCTGTGGTTGGCAACCAGTCTAGGAGAATGACAACAGAATTACAAACTAATGTGAAATTGGAAAGCTGAGTTCAAATTACAGTCGGGTTCGTTACATTCACTTACATGCAAATAACCTTGAGAAAGGCATGAAACCATCTGTTCTCCCTCACCAGCTATGGGTTGAATAGCAGGACAGACTAGGTCCTATAGCCTAGTGTGGTAACCAATCTACTGCAGAAAGAAATGACTTACTGCGGGAAAATCTTCTGCCTAGTCAATGATGAATCAAAAAATACATGATCACTCAAGAATGTATTACATATGGCACTTAACTGACTGATGTAGCCCTGGTGAAGCAGATAAAGCCATTGACAAGATTATGGGCTTCAAAATGGCTAAAATCTAAACTTTGGTTGACCTAAACATGCATCAATTTATTATTGTTATTTATTTTAAGTTTTTGTCGTATCATTCAAAAAGTAGCTAGAAATTTCTTTTACTCAAATTAAAGGTTGAGAAAAATTTACACATTTTTTAAAAGACAGAGTATAAGAAATCAATGTGAGTATAATTGTTTTTAGTGAATATCCTCAACAAATACTAACAGGCTAAAATTTCATCCCTGCTTGAAGATCTTTGAAATAAAACAAATTGTTTTGTCAGAAACACATTGATATCAAATATTAAAATAAGAATTGTTATTTGTTGGTATAAGAAAGTTTATTCTTTAATATCAACAAATAGGTTTGTTTTTGTTTTAAATAAAAAAAAAAATACAATTTTTTTAAAAAGATTTGTTTGTCAAAATTTTGCTTTCATCTTTTCAAATAAAGAATTTGGAAGTAGATGAGTATAAAAAAAAAGCAAAAATTTATTTATCTCAAGGAAAGATATCTTTTATGGATTTGCATGCAGAAAATGGAAGAATACATTTATATTAGAAAAATAAAAGGGTAAATAAAAAGAAAAGAAACACTTTTTATTTATTTTTTTTTTTGGTAATATTAAGACTTGTATGTTTAATTTTATGTGTGTACTCGCGTCCACTGGCTTATACAAATACAAAAATGAACAAAAGAATTTGACAACAGTTCCAAGTAGAAATAAAACAAGGCACTGAGCCTAGAATTATAGAAAAAACGTATTGCCAAGTTTGTCTCAAGAAAAAGGGGAGATAATTATGAAAGGCATTAAAGATGTCTGCTTGTACACAGTCGATCAGTTTTTCAAAAATCACTTAAATGGATGGTAAATAATTATTAAATTGAAATTCTTTTTAAAAAAATTATATATACTTTTTTTTAAATTTATTTCTATGACTAAATTACATATATCTGTGTATGTGTGCGTGTATGTGTGTGTTTTAGAGGGAGGGGCGGAATTTGTAAATGGCCAATATGTTAAAAAAAAATTGGCCAATCTGTTTATGAAGAGAAAAAAATAAAAAATAAAAAAATGACGGAATTGTTTCGTTTAATCAATTAATATATATTTTTTATTTTTTTTAATTTTGAGGGTATATGTCAGAGAAAAACTGTAAGGATTGTTTAATAGTGATGGCAAGGAAAGATGCAATATGCAGGCAGGCAGGGGGCAATGCATTGGCTTCGTTCTGCTACGGAACTTGGTTGACACACATGGAACACAGCAGGCACACGTATCCAGAGATGCACATAGATAGACATGTATACATACAACACAGCTTTGTATGTGTTCACACATACACAAAAGACATTTTATATATATAAGCTGCTAGAAATATAATGTTGAATTTTAGAAGATGGAGTATAAAAAAAAAAAAAACATGCAATTGAAGAGTTAATTTTAATTTGAACATAGTCCTTGAATCCCAGTTTGAAACAAATTCTGTCATTCTTCTGAAAGAATCTGGAATTCTGAACAAAAAAACAAAAAAAAAGAAATGATCTTATGTCTAAAACAAAGTAGAAACCTCGTAAGATCTTGGTGAGCACAGTCAATGGGATTTTCTTTTCCTTTAATCCCTGATTTTTACTATGAGGAGTAAAAGAATTTGTTTCATATTGGAATAATGATTATTTTCTGATAATTAAATTTAACTTTTACCACACTTGAACAGAGGGTTTAATTCCTACTCCTAAATATTAACATTACTTTCAAAGAATCTTCAGAGCAATATATATATATATATATATATATATATATATATATATATGAGAGGGACAAAAAAATATTAAAAAAAAAATTAAAATAAAATTGATAAAGGAAGAGGCTTGTATTATTTTAGTTTTTAAATTTCTTTTTTTTTGATTACTGTCATTTCAGTTATGTTATTTTTCTGTTGTTTGCTTCTCTCATTTACTTTATCCTGCATCATTTCATCGTTGCTATATATATATATATATATATATATATATATATGTGTGTGTGTGTGTGTGTGTTTGTCTGTCTGTGAGAGAGTGTATTTCAAAATCTTTATAACCCACCTTTTTTTTTTCTCCAAAATAAAAAAAATAAAAAAATTTTTTTTTGAAAGTTTTAATTAAATCTTGAAATTAGTCCTTAATAATTGTCTGACAGTTGGTGGTCCGTCCAAAATGCAGGACATGAATATCATGAGAAAGCAAGAATGACAAATAGTTACATAGACAGGAGTAAACAGACAGATGGTGTAGTAGTAGTAGTAGTAGTAGTATTAATAGTAGTACATATTATTCAGCACCGTTCCAGTTCCTGGTGTTGTCAGCCTGAAACAAAAAAAAAGAAAAGAAAAAAAAAAGAAACAGAATTAATTTAATAACTAAAACATAAAAAAAAGAAACACTTTTTTGGTAAAGATCAATTCATTTCTTTTACCCCAAAGCAAGGCAATAAATCCACCAAGATGCAAGGAGTTATTGAATATTAACGAATACAAGAAAAACAAAACAAAAAACACTATTAAGGGGAGAGAACAATAAAAGAACAAGAATTAAGAAGAGTAGATAACAACTGAGGAATTGGTAGAGCCAAGTTCAAACTCCTGTTAAATCCATTACATTCACTTATGTGCCAATAGCCTTGGGAAAGGTGTGAATCCTCTTCTTCTCCTCCCTGCCAAGCTATGATTAAATAGCAGGACAGATTGGGTTCTATAAGCTTGGGTGGCAGCTGGTCTACCATAGAAAAAAGAAATGGCAACCTACTGCAGGAAAAAAAAACCTGCCTCATTAGTCATGTATCGAAAGATACATGATCTCCTAAGCATGTATCATGCATGGCACATAACTGACTGAGATTACTTTTAAATTTTTGAAGATCAAAAAATGGTAAGCTGTAAGAGACTTCCACAAGCGCGAAGTGCAATAGAAGAAACTATTAGCATCTAAAATATCGCTTCTTTCATGTGAAAATAGAGTATAAATAAAAAGCCACGATTTCTTAAGCAGACAATATAACCAATGCAATTTCAAAATTACTTAAATATGGCTGTCATTTTTGACAGTATGTGTCGTATTAGCTTCCTTTGGATATTTTTACTTTTAATGATTTAAAAAGCAAAATACTTTCTCGAATCTGGCTAGAGTTAATTCTGGAGATTAAAATTCTAGTTTATTCACATAGAAAATATAAACAATGCAATTTTATCTACTTAAAGATTCTTGATAAAATCCAAAGAAGAATCTGCAATGTTATCGGTCCTGACCTGGCGTCACAGCTTCAGACGCTTCCCCACCATGTAACATAGCTTCTGAATAATGTTTGAATATTACTTCATAACTCGAAACTTGGATTGGATTCAAGCTGTATTCTAGATTGGTTTTCCATTTCTCTTTTATTGTTCTCTCTCCTTAATGTTTTTCTTTTTCTCATTCTTTCACACTCAGTAACCCCTTGCATCTTAGTGGCTTTACTGCCTTGCTTGAGATGAAAAGATTGAAAACAAATAAATATAACATTACTTAAATATGGCTGTCATTTATTGACAGTACACGTGGACTCCTTATGTAATAAATTCAGACAACTAAAAACGGTTTAACCAAAGCTTTGAAACTTTACATCTCAAAACTCAATGCATGTAACAAAATATGTAGAGTAATTGGCCATGGTTAAGTGTAATTGGTAAAATGCTCAATGCAATTGTTAAATTTCTCAAAAAACAATAAGAAAGAAAAAAAAAAATGGACAAATAATATTAAGCAGACAAAGTATATGTAAGTCAAAACAATAGTCAGTCATTCAGTTATGTGCCATGTGTGATACACCCTTAGGCGATCATGTATCTTTCCAATACATGACTGATGAGGCAGATTTTTTTCCTACAGTAGATTGCCATTTCTTTCTGCAGTAGACCAGTTGCCATCCAAGGCTACAGAACCTGGTCTGTTCTGCTATTTACCCATAGCTGGGAGGGAGAAGAAGAGGATTCATACCTTTCCCAAGGGTATTAGCACATAAGTCAATGTAATTGGTTTGACTGGAATTCGAACTTGGCTCTCTAATTCCTCAATCCAAGCCGCTATCCATTACTCTACCGTGCCTTTTCATATAACAGTAATAAGGCAAAAAGATCAGAGTAAGAATGATGTTCATATGTGAAATAGATTCAGTCAAGTGATTGTGTTGGATGTCAGTTGAGGAAGAAGAACCTTTGACCTTACTTCCACTGCATCGGAGAGTGAGTGAAAGTCGAAATGGGTGATAGCATAAACAGGAAATGGCTAAAATAAACAGGACGCACAGGTGTTGTGAGCAGATGTAAATGCGTGCTAGCATGGGCGCATGCCGGAAGAGAAGTAGCCACACGAATTTGTGTGGGCACATGGCTGGAAGAGGCATGTCCACAAGAAGTTGCATAGATGAAATACTGGAAGAAAGTGTAACCACATGAAGCTGCATGGATGTCCAAATGTTATAAAAATGGTCCAACTCTTGGCCTGAGAAAGAGGCTGGTTGGAGTTTCACTGAAGATTTTGTCTCCACCAATCCCTGTGTGCGCAATCCTAACCTCTCTGATTCTCCCTCATTCAACCCAATCACTGCAACTCAAACAATAGATATTTATATATTTTTATATATAAGTGTTTGTCATCTTATTTGAGCCCAGCAGCAATATACAACAATTGCAGCATTTTGACTTCAAGACAAGAACAAAAATATGGCTGACGATACCATAAAAGGGTCCATTTTTATTGGTTAGGAAGAAATCTCAGCACACATCTGTACAATTTGTCTATAAATTTGGAGAGAGAATGTTTTTAGCGATAATTCACAGCAGTTTGAAACCAGCAAAATGTAAAAGGCAAAAAAATCTAAACATTATAAAATACTCACTGTGCTGATTAAATCAGACATTTTGTGATTTAACTTCTCCATTTTGTTTGGCTTGGTGGTTTGCAACTGGACTGCCACCAGTTTTCTGAGCTTCCATCTCAGCCTGCATCTTTGCTAACATCTCTTTCATCTTGCGCAACTGAAAAAAATCAAGGGAAATAACTCTTGTAAAAGCCACATTTTCGGATTGCCACATAAAATAAAATTGCAAAAATTACTCTTACCTCTCCAACAATTGCTGTTATATTGTGTGCATGAAATGTAGATACAAATGTTGCAGTTATTTTGGGACAGAAGCCGCCATAAATAAAAGTCTAATTGTTATAAATACTTGAAGATGAATTTTGTCAATAATTTCATCTTAATTTTATTTTCTTTATTTACACTAGTAGCCTTTTTATTGCTTCAAATGTTATTGGAGTAAATACTCGGATTTGAAAATAGCAGTCCTCTTTTTACTTTTAGACAGTGTGCATTATTTTTTATTAGATGAAATATTGTTGACAATATTTTATCTAATACAGATTCAAGATGATATAATCCACATTGATTTGACGTGGTATACACACTATCAGCAGAATTGCTTCCTGGACAATTGCCTCCATAGGACAATCGCCACCCACCCACCTAACCATCATTAAGAGAAAATAAAGAGAAAACACAATTTTGGTGTGTGTGTTGAGGGGGGGGGTATAAATACTAATAAAACTAACTAGGGTTTTATTTTCATGTTTTATGTATTATCCAATAAAATGAATTATATTTTTATATCACTATAATTATACCAATAAAAATGCAAATTGTTGACTATACACAAATACAACAATTGATAACTCTCTATTTAAACTAATGATTATAAAAAATAATAATTACAATAATCAATTCTTACATTTCATATTATCCAATAAATAGACTTATATTTTTATATCACTAGAATTATACAACTAAAATTACAAATTAAGGACTATACATCTCAAAAAGTTGAACACATGGCAGTTCTCAAAGTCTTATATAATATTTGTTATTCTAAATGTCAAATCTTGATAATGTTTGCACCTAGGCAGTGCTGGATGGCCTGCAAGCATACACTGATCCCAATCCACTATTATAAAGTAGAAAATCTTCGTCAACAGCTGTCACCTTTTACTCGGATGTAATGACCATGTCAGTGAGGTTTGATGGAATGGGATGAGGAGCACTGACAGCTTGTTTGTAGCGTCTTGTTGCATGTCTAATATGTTTTACAGGTGTGTAGTTAAAGGAGTCTCTATTCCTTGGACATTGTTCATACAATACAAGATACTGCTTGTCCACTCCTCTGTTCTCATGTTTCATACACGTCACCAACATAAAACCATTCTGCCTTCTCACTGCTTCAGCCCTTTTTTTTATCAGGCAAACACCGCAGCCGACCAACAAATCAGCGTTCTTCACTTTTGTTCTCAGTCACCCAGGCAAATAGACTCCTTCAGTCTGACCAATCAGCACACGACTTGCTATTTGTCAGACCATGCTGAACTGTACAAAAAAAACCTGCTACAGCACATACTGCTGGAATTGCTAGACAGGAGAGTAATGCCATTTTCAAGGAGCAAAATGCCGATGTCACGTGTCACACGTTGAGGTATGACACTTATTTTCCTTTGCATCAGATGCAAGCCACTCTGGCTCGCTTGCTTCCATGTGACTGTTCACCGCAAAGTAGTAGTTGAGGCAGTTTCTTATATGGACTGAAATATTTGGGTAATGATTTGCTGTACGGTATCTTCATGTCATATAAACAAGATTTCTGGGCGATGTATGTCTGCAGCATGGGCATGATCATTTAAATGGCCAATGACTTTATATCCAAAAGCTTTAACTTTACAGTTGCTATGCTGACACTTTTCTCACATATTAAGATACCAGCTTAAAAGCCATCTGATAGGGTGGTATTTAAACTAGCTCCTGTGGAGGGCTTTTGATTAGGCCTCCATCACAATAGGTAGGGAAGAGTAGATGCAATAAACAGCAATAAACTACAGAAGAACTCAAAACTGATCGCTGCATTTAAGTCTTGCATTAATATTTAAGCTTACCTTTTAAAAGTTCAACAACAATTCTTTTGCCGGCACTGAATTTAAAGACAATTTGATGTAGATAGATCCTTACTTTACCAACAATCATTTTTATTTAATGGTTGACTTTTGCAATTAATTTTAATTCCCAAGTTATAAAAATTATACCAAAAAATCACTTAAAAAAAAAAAATAAATAAATAAATATCACCGAAAACAGCTGCAGTAGTGAAAACTTGAGAATAGAAAATTTCAGGATTGTGGGTCCGGTTCTGGCACGGAATGCTTTTAATTTGCTCATGGAAATGGTATGATATGTTGGGCTACGTCCTCTAGGAGCAAAGTTGAAAAAGTGTGACACACTGACATTTGCATTTATTATATAGATAACACTATTTGCCAGTCAGGTCAGGATAATGGCATAAACTTCAAGATGGCTTTTAGAAATTTATCTTTATTATTGAAGTAAAAGCAAAACCTTTAAAAACTTTCCATTGTGCAAGGGCAGTTGTTCTATAACCACTATATGCACACTCTAGAAAACTTATTAAAAAAAAAAAAAATGTACAAGATTCAAACCTGCATGAGTCCTGGGTATGACGATGAACTATATATCCGGCAGCAAGATCAGGAGATTGGAGGTTTTGAGGAGCATGAAAAACTACTTAATTATTGTTTTTGGCATTCCCAGATTCACCCTGACCCAGGTTGGTATGACCTGTTAGTGTCACAGCTATGGGAAAATAGTGACCCCCCCACCCACTACTGCACACAAAAATAAAACACTATGAAAGTATAAAAATACATTTTCATATAAATTTTTCTATAAAAAATTTATCAACAATACACAGACTGACTTCACCAAAATACATTTAAAATACTGCCAACCAACCAATATGAAAGAACTCTTTCCTGACATTAATCCATATAATATCCTACAATTTCTTAAAGAAATCAAACTGTATTCCAAAATATAATTACAACATAAAACCAACTCTAGTAATTATGTCCACACAAACATGTATATGGATAAAAGCTGAGTATCATCTACCATGTATTCAATTGTGAAAGCAGAATAACATATCATATTTTTATTACTTCAAATCTCCTATCAATATTAAATTTTGGCATTAAATGAGCCATATGGAGCTGATACGCTGCTAAACAGACAAGTCAATTGAACCTTGTTCAGATTTATTCAGATCAGAAAGGAGGAAGCAGGTTTGAAACTTGCTGGAGGGCACATAATTTTTAATATGTTAAAAAAAAAACAAAAAAAAAAAACAAAGCATCTACTCAAATACAGGTATCTGACTAAAAATAGTGTCTGAAGTAATAAAAATATTCTTTAGAAATATATAAGTAGTAATAGACTTTTACTAATTAATTTATTAATCTGACAGATTTTATCACTTTGAACGTTGTTTTTAATGAACACCAATATTTCAGTAAGCACTCAGTTTATTTACTTAACAAAATATTTGTTTTTATATTAAAAAAAAAAAAAAAAAAAAAAAAAAAATGCACATCCTGGCAGGATTTGAAACCGTATCCCCCTTTGCAAGAGAAACAGTCATTAGACCCAACATTATTTAGACCAACTCAGCCATGAAGAGAAACACCAAACAAGCAAGGCCGAATAGTGCCTTATAAGCACAAATCCTTGAATGTTTATAACTGTTCAGTTTCATATCCGGACGTAAACAAAGCAATTTCTAAAGGAATGAACTTTTATTTATTAATCTGACAGATTTCATTACTTTAAACATTATTTTTAGTGGATACCCATATTTAAGTAGACGCTCTGTTTATTTATTAAACAGTATATTTATTTATTTTTATTTAACAGCATGAAAATTTGAGATGTCTGTCACTTACATATATTTCTAAAGTAGTAATCGAATTTCTATTTATTTATTAATCCAACAGATTTTTATCACTTTAAATGTTATTTTAGTGGCTAAGTCAGGTAAAACCATGTTGGATCTAATAACGGTTCTGTCTATAAAGGGGGCACATGTTTGAACCTTGGCAGAGGGAGCATCTTTTTGCTTAATAAGATTGCTCGAATATTCAGGCTGGCAGACAAAAATAAATATACTGTTTAATAGATAAACAGAGCGTTTAGTTAAATATGGGTATCCACTATATTCCTTTCATTTAGTTTTCTCTTCATTTTTCTCTTTCTTATTTCCTACCCGCTCTCATCCTCTGCTTGCCCCGCCTTTCCTCCTACCCTCAGCTTGTCCCACCTATTTTCCCCTCCTCTTCTACTCTCTTTGTTCCATCCTGCTTAGTATTACTTGGTAGCTTTATCAGTCAGGGTAACTATCAAACTGATACTACACATTGATCTCAGAAAAATATGGCAGATGTACAGCTAAACAAGTCAAATAATAGTAGGGATATCTTAACTATCTTTGTTGTGTGCATGTAATAGACATGGGAGAAAATGATATGTAGTGTTGTGTCCTTAAAGAAGGTTACAAACAGACAAAGATGGTGCTCGAGTGAAAGGAACAGCAACATGCGTGTAGATGAAAGAAATAGGATTATTGTAAAAGAGAATACACTAACGAAAGACGGTTAGCAAGCTAGTAATTCTTGAAGAAAGGGTATCTCCCCACGTGGTCAGATGTGGCACAAAGCGGAATTTAATGTGAGGTATCTGAGCCCATAGGCTTGGCCAAAACCTCCCCATATAATATGGGGTCAGGTAGCTGTTTCTTGAGACTCTGCCCTTCAACATAGCATCGGAGGGGATCCTCTCTGGCTGGAGGCAGAGAGTTTGACCAGCACAGCTGGAGATGAATCTGCAACTAATTCCTGAAGCAAAGTTATTTACCCCCACCCCTCCGAGGTAGGATGTGGCACAAGGCCATTATTTAAGTGGGGTAAAATCAAGACTGTATGCTCGGGCAAAAATCCCCATAGACCCCGTAAAAACAGGGTCAGGTAGCTGTCTACTACCCCAGATGAGACTCTGCCCTTTGGTATAGCCTCATCTGTTGATGATGTCACATATTATGAAATGGACAAAGTCTGACAATTATTTTAAGTGTGCAGTCATTTGTTTACATTTGGATACGCATTGAGCAGATATGAATGTACGAGAGAAAAACATCGAGAATTGTAACTTAAAAACAGTAAAATCGACCTTGCTAACCGAAACGCTCCTCTGTGGCTCAATTGATAAAAGCACGTCAGGTTATATGACGGTTCCGTAGAGGATACAGGTTCGTTTCCTCTCAGAGGATGCATATTTTCTATGAAAATTTATCAGACATTCAGGCTGGTAAATGTTGTTAATACTGTTTATTATAAAACAGAGCATTTACTTAAAAATATTTGTATCTATAAAAAGAATGTATAAACATAAAAAAATGTCTTAAAACATGTATATTATGTTCGGAAAATCCATGACAAAATAGGAAAACTTTTTTCATGTGATGCATTTCATCGTTTAGGATTTCCTTAAACTAAAGCGAGGTTTACCTTAATGTAACAATATATGCACATGAAGGCAACAGGGATGTTGAAATTTTAAAATTTAAATCCCCACCATATGTGTTTGGGTATATGACATGTTTGTCAGAGGCAAGGTGTATTCAACATTTGATAATTTTGCAGCATTACACGCTTTAAGGTTTTAGGCAGTTTTGATCAACATTTCTTTTCATGGTTGGCTGTAAGGAAGTGTAAATGTAGGACTGCCTTAGATTTAGGTAAAAAAATAATAATAATATTTATTAAGAATTTATTACAGGAAATATCAAGTCTTATGGAATCATTGTTGACAATTCCATATTTAGTTACATAACAAATAAATAATAATATAAATTTTGATGCTATTTTGATTTGTTGTTATGTATTTTTCATTTTCTCCTTTGTTATTGGCAGTATTTTAAAATACTTTGGCTGCAATGCTAAGTTTTCTAAATTGAACAAATTGGAGCTATTTCATTTATGCTTTGTTACCACTCTTTTTCATTGTTGTTTTTTGATCGCTTTCTTTCAGTCATTTTGATGGACAATAGTGAAGTTCTAAAATTTAGAAAGATCTTATTCCATTTCAAAAATAAAGTCTGTAAAAAGGAATATTTTAAATTAATATATGACCAAAAATAAAATGCCTTTGACAAAAAAACCTTAATGATTTCACTATAATTATGTAACAATAATGTAATGATATTCCTCAAACAAATCTACGGTTTATGTTACCTCATCTCATTGCATGGTTACAAACTATAAACCTAAATTGAGCTTGAAATATTGTGTAATCGGCTCTAATCTTTTTGTAAAATACTTGGATCTGACACCATAAATATATTTAATCAACGTATCTGCAGTTTCATGGTTGGTCACATTTGTGGCAGGTTGGCAAGCTTGTGTCACAAATCATTAAAACTAAATGGAATCAAGCCTTAGTGTGCACCTCATACTGATGTCTATGTGCCAATCTAAATGAGTATTTTAATTGTATGCACATCTTACCTCAGCTTCCTTTTCTGCCAAAGCCTGTTCTCTGTCATTGATGTCTGGCTGGGGAATTCCACTTCTGCTGGAACGTTGTTTACTGGAAATAGGAGATGGAGAGAGAGAAAAATTAAGAGGACAAGTCAATAAGTGCAGTCGGATTTTATTTTGTTTTTTTTTCATTTCTTGCCAGTTACAACTGAAGTAATCTTGTAATAATTGAGGAGCACCAGAAAACACACAGGCAAGAAAAATACAAATACAAAAAACACACACACACAAAAAAAAAAAAAAATAAACCCACAAAAATAATACAAATACAAACACACAAAATAAAACACACACACAAAAATTGCAAACGTGCACACACAAAAATCACAAACACACAGAAAAAATAACACATACGCACACACACAAACGCGTGTGTGCACAAAGCAGGTCATTCATATAATTATGAAGGAAATCATTACTTTTTTTGCCTAATTCACAGACTAAATAAATACATAAAAAAATAATTGAGGAAAAAAAAAATAATGAAAAAAGTTTGGGTAACTTACACAACTTTGCCGCCAGCCAATTTCTCGGCACGGAAGTTTTCGTAGTGGATTTCTTGTGTGACTTCTTGTAAATCTTGCATGTGAGTACTATGAAAAACACAGAGAAACGATCAGTGAGTGCATTAATAAAAAAAAAAAAAAAAAAAAAAAAAAAAAAATTTAAAAAAAGAAAAAAAAAGGAAAATATTTACCGGTAATCAAAGGGAGATAACTTTGATAGTTAACATGCTTGGCGCAATTATTTATAAAGGAAAAATAAAAATCCCATTTTCACTGCGAAATATTGCTATAAAATTTAGCATGGATTGTTCCACTAATCGCGTAGATTCCCAAGACGAGTGATCTTGCACCAATTTACTTGCGGAAATTAAAAAAAAAAAAAAAAAAAAAATTAACATTATATTGTCTTTTTACAACCGAAATCAATTTTCAGGAGTTAATCTGCAGTTGTCTCCCTTAGAATAGCCGGGTGAACAAAGTTCGAATTTTAGCTTCGCCTATTGCGTTCACTTCCCCAACATCTTCCCCCGGCTTAAGTTGGTTGCTTGATTTTACGATACACCAACTATTGTTAGGTTTCTCTTGTGTACGGAATGAAAGTGCCTACGTGGTGAGATAATAATTTACTTTACTTCCGGTACGGAACTTATTCCATAAGACACACCAAATGACAAGCTTGTGTGAATAGATAGAGGAAACATTAGCAAAAGCACAACTAAGGATGACAAAGACAGGAAGTTGCAGGGAGACAAAATCTCCTATGACCTGAAGACATGTGGCACATAGAAGAAAATTTACTACAAAAAGTTGAATTAGCTCCCTTATCACCCTAATTTTTTTTTCTGAATAGGCTATTTTGCAGTCCCAGTAAAACAGACACTAATGCTTTAGAAGTATATATATATATATATATATATATATATATATATATATATATATATATATATATATATATATATGATATATATATATGAATAGAAAAGTTCAGAGCAGATAACATTAGAAAGATTTTAGAGTTCCATGAAAATAAGTGGGTACAACGTCTAAAACATACTATCCAGCCAGGCTAAACCATAAATTTAACAATAGTACTAAATATATAACACTACAAATCAAAACCTACCCACATATCTCACCCACACAAGACAGACATGTTTACGGAGGTATTGAGGCCTCACACT